ACCAGATCTTTCACCTGGTCGATATCCTTGTCAATGATGGCCCATGCAGCATGATCAGCATCCAGCTTCTTCAGGAATTCGTCCTTGGCCTCGACTGATGTTGCTCCCCAAACACGGACTGTTACTTTCGATGTTTCAAACTGAAGGCTCGAGTTGGCAAACTCGTAGGACTCGGTATCAGAGATTTGTGAAAACTTACCCTCGGCTTTGCCATCGAAAAATGGCGAGCTGTAACTAACTTCACCTGAGATTTCCAGCTTGCGTAATCCTCTGCGCATCAGCAAGCATGGAGGTCTCATGGCTGCTGGTGACGTTCACCTCCCTAAAGAGCACGCCACCAACATGGTACAAACCAGCATACACATGAGAGCTGTATTTCTCCAAGAAAGCTGTCGCCTCAGTAGCGCCGGTAACACGTCGAGCATCTGCCTTGGCTTCATCAGTCAAGGTCATTTGGAGTTGAGGGATCTGAAAGCACTTCATGGGGACATACAAAGACTCGGTGACGATGACCGTGCGAATTTTTTTGTGCATTTCTTTCTTGTGTTTCTCCTTCTCCTCTTCGGAGTAATCACCCTGCAGCTTCATGGTCAATTTACCCAAACTCACCCCGACCTTTGTCGCAAGAGTCCATCCTTGAGTGCTGAGCTTCTCTTGAAATGTATTGTAATCCTCAATGCTGGAGAACTTCAACGTCTCGGTCTTCTGTGGATCCACCGGCCCCCTGATTGCTATATTGCTGGGGACCTGAAGGACGTGCGTGCTAAGCACTGGCCCAGGTTCTTTGCCACTCACTTTGAAACCACAGAGAGCCCGCCCACCACTTGCAGTGCCCAGAACACTTTCATTGGTCAGACTTGAATCATTCTCGCTAGCCATGACCAAAGGAGGAGGATAGTATGTAGAAGGAAAAGAGAAAATGGTACAAATATGCGAGCCACCCACTAAGAAACGTTCTTCTCTAGAAAACAAAAGACTGCCAAACTCAGATGTATGCAGATTAGGTGTACTTTACTTGAGACTTGCAATTGGGATCTCTATAAATGCAAGCAAGCATAGAATCTCCTTTTATAAATGGACAGAACGCATTGTTAATATTGCGACAGGTCCAGGACGTCCAGACATCTTGTATCAAACATCATCCAAAGAAGGCTAAGCTCTAAGTATCGAAATTCTAAGTAGAATATGGATTCGCACAACTGAGATGGGTGACATAACTTTCTCTGGGTAGAAGCTAGTCACCGCAATTTCTTTGACTTTTAGTTAACTGTGTTTGACTGGAAAGAAGGGAGAATTGAAAGGAAGGGCATTTGCATAAAAGAATTGCCTCACACGACACTCTGTTTCACCCACAGCTTTGGAATCCCACTCTCTGATGCAGAGTGAACACTCTCCTTGCCTGCCTTATAGTTCTGACCACCAATGACCTCACATTGCTCCGCACCAGCAGTTGCCCTTTCTGGGCAAATGCTGGGAGTGCCAACATGCATTGTTGGATCCATTGAACCTGGTTATAATGCACCATCCTTGGCATCTTGGCATCTGGACGTGCTCCCATTCTGCCTCCATTTCTGATCAAAATGCCTCTGTGTGCGCTCAGAAAAGAGGGCAACGTGTAATGTAAATAAGGTAAATAGAGCTTTGCTTGCGAGAAACTTCTCCGGATGTGGTATCCGCGCCTCCGACGTCGAAGCTAGATCACCAGGTACGAGTGTGGGAAAGTTCTCTTGCTCTGCTCTTTGTTCTTGTTCTTATCATTCCGTCTTTGTATATTGCAACGGGAATAAGCGTCGGATGCTTGGCGCCCGAGTGACTGTTTTTATCTCAAATCGGTGTCTGACACCTTTGATCGAGTCAAGTTTCTCTGTGCGGAATGTTTACCTACTGTTTTTTTGCTTGTGAGCTACCTATTGTGTTCTACCAATTCAGCGGTTTCCCTTTCGCGCGAAACTGCACAGGTCTTTGTCAAATTTTTAAGTTGCTTTCTCTCACAGTAGCCTCACAGTACTTTAATCTTTATGCTGCAGTCAGGAACTCAGGAAGGATCAGCGCACTGAAGCCTGAGTACACATTATAGTCATATGTTGAGAAGCTGTTGCTAATGCCCTTGCTTCCAACAACTTGAAGAATTTGTGCGCCATCCCTCGTCACTTTGGCACTTTGCTGGCCTTTTTGGAACGGCATGGACACAGTCGTCACGCCTGCTTTAACAGGAAACCTCTGTGTTGAACCTCCTGACTGCACCTCAACGCTGGCTGGGGACTTGAGCTTGGTGACCACATAAACACGATCATCCAACACATTCCCGTTCTGAGGCTTGCAAGGATCGTTCGTCGCAGTGGCTTTGGCGCTCTGCGAGTAGTAGAAGATGAAGACGGAGTCATCGGTGATTGAAGGCTGCTGCCCGGTCTTATACCAGCTGATGTAGTACGAGCCCAGCTCCAGGAACGCTTCGTGAGGAAAGTCCTGGTCGTTGGACTGCTGAGGTCCCCAATTCGGATTGTTCATTTTTGCAACATAGGTCCTCTCGACCCAGTCATTCCAGGTAACTATTTCTACAAAATCTGGTTGGTCTTTTATGATCTGCTCCCACCGTTTTATCCAGAGACCGGATCCCTGATAGTTCCCCTTCACCTGGCATCCACAGCTGGTCTGGTCCTTCGGAGTTGTACAGACATCGTTGCAGCATCCGTCGTGCTTGAAGAACCAGGGGCTGACGCTCGCCATATACGACTTCCTAGCGTTCTTGCAAGCTCGAAGATACGCTTGATCTTTATCGTTGGAAGGAGAATTGAAGTTGTCCGCGCTGGAATAAGGCCAAGCCGAAGTATCCCAGGCATAAAGACCATCGATCAGCGAGTTGAACTTATTGATCATGCTGGTCACCTCCTGCTCGGTACCGCCGGTTGGAAAGAAAGTTACAAAGTAGTACTTGTCACGTCCACCAATCTGATCGAACACCGCCTTGTTCCAGCCCTCAAGCGCGTTGGAGTAGCCATCAAACACAGTGTCCTCGTTGCCGAGCCAAGTAGATACAAACTGCTTACCGTTATAGGAGTACTGGCTGGCCCTGCTCGAGTAGCGGGTAATCATCTCTTTGACATTCTCCGCAGTGAGGTGCGTGTTGTCCCTGTGCATGTCGAGCGAGAAGAAGATTTTGAAGCCAAGCTCGTCGGCAGCCTGGTAGATCCCGTCAGCGCGGGTCTTGTACACGTCCTCCCAGTTATTTGTGTTGAGCGCAAATGCATCAATCCCCTTGGACTTGGCGTACCGAATCTCGGCCTTGTAGCCATCCAGATTATCGGGACCTGAAGGAGCATAGAGCATGTAGTGAGCGAAGACAGGACGATTGGCATGACACTGGAAGCAGAATGACAGCAGGAGCAATGTCAGGGAGATGAGGCAATTCGGAAACCCCCTCATTTTCATCTTCAATTTGGGATCGGAGGCCTGTGTTTAAATACTCTTGGGAGTTCTCCGCGTGTACGCTACGGAGCAGCGGCAAGAGGACGTTTTCGCACGTCAGTCAAAGAAGGCACAGGTATTTCTTTGACTTCGACAATGTTAGCATGTTCTAGGAAACTTCGGGATCGGGTTGCAGCAAAGAACATCTTTTAATATTTTGAATATGACAGGCTGAAATTCAAGTTGAGAATCTGACGCCTTGGAACTCTACTCAGTGGTGATGATCGACAAGGATGGATAACAATTTTGAGTTTTCAAAGTACACATACATCCATAATTGGCTTGCTGGCTCATGTTTTAGGCTTTAACTGGAGTTTCCACAATTTAATGGTTGACCTAACCATTAAATTTAGTGTCTTTAAGGTTAGGGCTGGCTGCCGTGGATTTAGCCTTCGAATGCAGACTACTCAACTTTCATAACCAACTTTCCTCATTTACAGCTTTTTAAATTATAATTTATAAAAGGTTTGAAAAAAAAAACATTATTTTTATTAAAAAAAGTAAAGGAAAATAGGGAACAAAATATTTTAATTTTAAAGTGAATATCTAAAAAATATGCTCACCCCTTACAGATTTACAAGTGGCATAAAGAAGATTCACAATGGTTGCTAATAAAAACACATGGGGGGTGGACCAATTCTACATTGATGAGAATGGGAAGGTGGCTTGATTATGGCCTGACTGACATGGCCAAGGAAAGTTCTGCGGCTGCCTAACACAAGTCCTTACCTTGGACTTACACAGGTGAATTTGGCATGTGTTGTGCTGGAACAGAATAAGAAGGTTGAAAATAATGCTGGAATCACGAGAGGGTGTAAGTAGGCAAGGTGGAAGAAGCAGATTGAGAAGCATCCTCAACAGCTATGAGGAACCCTTTTTTCTGGCCAATTTTGTTGGGGCCCCATCAAACAATTATTCATAATTATTGTAAGGAAGAATAATATACTTATAGTTGGCAAATTAGCATTAAAAAAACACACTAGAGTGCCACCTATGCTGAAAAATTGTACTTGGTAATGACAAATATACTCAGTCAAAAAAAAAAAAAAACCTCTTTGACCCAATGACCACTAAACAAGCGCAGACCTGAATTTAAATTGTATGATATCTACATTTTAATAATGTTTATGTCCCAAGAGCCTCTGTGTTGAACGTCTCAATTGGCAAAAAAAAAAGAAGAAAAATATACTCAATCAACAAAGATAAATTTCACTAATAAATTTTATTCTTTGGCCCGATGACGACCTGGTTTTGGCCACTAAAAAGAGCACACTCCTCAACTGTTCCAAATTGGTTTGATATGCCCTGTGGGAACCACTTGAAGATGAATGGCCTTGAAGCGTTTTAAATTAGGCCTCTTTTGGGGGACGAACTCTTCAATCTGCTGGCGGAAATCATGGAGCATGGCCCGCTTCTGGATCCTGTCTGCTGGTCAAGCAGCGAGTGTCAACCAGATGTTCCTTGGGGAGTTCAAGGCTTGACTTTTTACTAGTTTTCGGAATTACATTCTTTGATGTCCAAAATTATCTGGATACACGGGTTTCAAGTTTTAGGGCTCTTGTTAATTTGGACAGGTATGGGGTCGGAGCGGCAGCTGCTTGAATGCATAGATATCTCTTCGCCGGATGTGAAGAGCCTGGCTCTACAGCTAAGAAAGGTGAGTTAAGCTGTCGATCTTCGCATTTCGATGCATTTGGATTCTTGTTCAGGCATGCTTGGAAACTGGGTTCTTCTACGTTATCAACCACGGGATCGGCGAAGCCTTCATGGAGGAGGTGTTTAATCAGACCCGGAAGTTCTTCAAGCTTCCCTTGGAAGAGAAAACGAAGGTGCTACAGGACAAGAGAAATCGGGGCTATACTCCCTACAGCGAGGAGAAACTCGATCCTGTCAAGCAAATTGCTGGTATGGAAACTTGTGGCATGTTGGCTCCAAAATTTAAATTTGGATGTGCAGGGGATTCGAAGGAAGGCTATTATATCGGCCTTGAAATCCCGGAAACTGATCCTAGAGCAAACGAGCCTTACCAAGGACCAAATCAGTGGCCTTCACCAGGTTTGGCTATGGTTTTGAAACTATGCTTGCTGTAACTTACCATGTTATGCTCACCAGAGTTACTACCAGGATGGAGGCAAACAATGGAGAAGTACTTTCAAGAGGTCGAGTAAGTCATATCTCCTGCCATTTTCAAACGTGTTTTTTTTTTTTTTTTTCAGGAATTTATCTAGGCGGCTCATAAAACTCATTGCGATCTCTCTGGATTTGGATGAGACTTTCTTTGATAAACCAGGGATGTTTGATCATCCAATGGCACTGTTGCGGTTGCTTCACTATCCAGGTACCGGAAGAATCACTGACGAAGAAGAATAACTACGTTTGGTACACATTCAGCTGGAGTTACGAATCCAGAGAAGGGAGAGTTTGGTGCTGGCGCTCATAGTGACTATGGGATGCTTACGCTTCTTGCGACTGATAGTGTTCCTGGTCTTCAGGTAATGAGCCAGAAACACTGGTGAGGTTTTCGATCCTGATAGTTTGATAGATTTGCAAAGAGAAAGATGCCAAACAGCAAGTGTGGGAGGACCTACAACCGATCAAAGGGTATGTTTCAGAATTATGAGAGTTGTTCTCGTCTGATGTACACTGCAGAGCTTTCATAGTGAACCTGGGAGATATGCTCGAACGATGGACGAACAATCTATACAGGTTAGAGATTCTGCTGCAGAATTAAAATAATGTTGACGTTCATGGCATCGAAGGTCAACTCTGCACCGCGTTCTGAACCATGGAGAAGAGCGCTACTCGGTAAGCATGACGAACGCCTTTGTTGTTAGTGTGATTCTAGTAGGAACAAACACAGATACCTTTCTTCATGGAGCCAAATTTTGACTGCATTGTGGAGTGCCTGCCAACCTGCTGCAGCCCGTCCAATCCGCCAAAGTGAGTCCATCTTAAATTGAAATCAGCAGACTCATACCTGACTGCCGGCTTCTTCGTACAGATATCCTCCCATCAAGAGCGGTGATCACCTCACATACCGTTACCAGATTACTCACAAAGGCTTGGATGCAAACGCTAAGGAAAGTGTTCCCCAACCTGTCCACTAGGACGGTGGCAATGTAATGTGTATGGTGCCTTCATCTTCGTGAGTTGTCCAAAAAAAATCGTGCTGAGCTTGGCTCGTATATGGTAGGCGTCAGAGCGTTGCCGGTAAGTATCTGAAATTATGAGGCCTCGGAGATGACTTTGCCGGCTTTCTTGATGTTTTCCAGCGCCTCGAGCATCTCTGAGTTCTTTGTCCTCATAAATACTTCATGCAGCAGGTCATAAACGCCAGCGGTGAACGGACAGAGCATGTAGTTGAAAACCTCCGAGATCTCTGACAGTCGGTTCATTCGCTCGTAGGCTCTGATCATAGTCTCGTACACACCAGGCGTTCTGTTGATTCCTTTGTCGAGGATTGCGGTGAAGAAATTGATTCACGACTCGTAATAGCCAGCTTTGAAACACACCTCCAACAACAGCACGTAGACGCTGCCTCTGATCCAACAAGATCTGTCCATCTCCTTGAAGACTGAAATGGTGTCATCCCAGCGTTCAGCCTCAGCGAAGGCTTTGATCAACGTGATAAAGAACTGCTCGCCGAGCTTAACAGTTTCGTGGTCCACAGTTTTCAGCAGCTCCAAGGCTTCGTCGTAACGGCATGCCCTGCAGTAAAGGCCCAGCATGATCACATATGTTGCTTCATTAGGCCGGCTCCAGCTGCTCAGCTTTCACGTAGGATTGCGACCGGCAATTGTAGAGGAAAACATCCGGCTCGATATCACGATCCTTCATGACTTTGAACAGTGCTTCTGCTTCCTCAGGCTGACCTGCCCTGGCGCAAGGTGGTGTAGGCCAATGCCCTGAATTTTCATTTTAGTAAGCAGGACCTTTAGAATTTTGGTGTCGCTCAAGTCTTTGCAGATCGAAAAGAGCGCTGATGCAAACGCCTGTGAAACAACCGGTTCGACTTGCACGGGGTGGATGCAAGAATGCAGAGCAAGGTGCTTCCACCACAAGCACCACTCACTCAGTTCGACGCGGGCCTTCTGGTATTCTATGTTTAGAAGTCTTATGATCTCAGAGAATGCATTTGTTTTTCATTCAGGATCACATCCATGATTGAGTTGTTTGAACTGTTGAATGCGGCATAGCTGACTTTCTCTTAATAATCATCATTGCTTGAGTTGGAAAAAAAAAGTCACCTTGTGAGGGTGAGAAGTCGAACACATTACCATGGATGCCTAATTTGGGAGGTGAAATCAGCAATATTTTGGAGAGGCAACTAGGGGATGCAATTGGAGATGGTGGGGATTTGTAATAGTATGGAGAGGGTGGAGGAGATGCAACAGGAGGAGAATATAACTACCAGCATGCATCCTATCTGCAGCCTTTGATATATAAGTGTTGGTTGCGCTCCATGTTCTCCAAGTTTCTCAGCATGAATTTGCACAGTAGAAAAACCACATCTCTCCTTGTTGTGATGGCGCTATGCTTGTGTTTCGTTGCTTCTTGTGGGGTATGGGTAAGGTATACAGAGAGGCCTCGACTAGGCCCCAGGCTAGCGCACTGATTTATCAGGTTCGGAGAATTCTACAAGGTGTACTTAATCAGTCCCCGAACTTCAACACTGGTGAGCTGATTGTAGATGATCTTCCCATAATTGACGCGGTACATGTCGTCAAGATTAAGGTTTGGGTGTTGAACACTGTCTCATGTTCACCTACCGTCCTGGGGAGAACCACTGTACCAGGGAGTTCGTCGCCTCTCCTTGCAGCTATGTGGGAAGCAGCCGAGACCAGTGGATATGGTGGCATTACAGGCACCAATCAGTACTTGGAGATTCAGTGTATTCAAACTGATGGCGGCGGTACTGGTGCACAGCCAAGTGCGCCTATACCTGCACTCCCCACACCTGATGCTGCTGCACAAAGGAACTGGGACTGTCACGCCCACTATAATACCATGTTCAGCAAGGTCAATTATAAGGACAAGTATGAGGCTGGGACGTTACCACGGATGTTCGAAAGACATTCCCGCTGCATTCCTGAGGATCCACTCCTTAATAGAAAGGCTGGTTGTGAGCTTGTGCTGCACCTTCTTCTCACATTCTCATTGTACATTTTCATAGTAGAGGAACGATGTCTCTCCTTCTCGTTGCGTCGGTGCTATGCCTGTGGTTTGTTGTTTCTCGCGGGGTGTTTATAAACCCTACAAGGAGACCTGCTGCATTGACTCGGAGCAGGGCCGCTGCGATGATGAATACAATTGCGGATTTGCTAGGACATTTTATTAGATTCTGGAATGGTCAGAATGGTCGTCGCTCAGCGCTTCATAGCTTATGGTATAAGTACATGGTGAATAGACATGACTGTAGGGTCTGCTGACTAGGCAGATGATGAGGATGAATGCTATGTCATCGATCCTCACTAACCCAGCTACGTGACGGGCGACTTGCTTGTAGACTATCGAGGGATTAAATATCCGGATTAAGGCTGGGGTTTTGAGCGAATATGCGTGTTCAGCTAACCCAGATTGGGGAAGGGAGATACCACTGGATCAGTTGCAGAAACATGCTGCGACTCTCGTGACAGCATTGGGGCAGGAATATGCTAGCATTGCAGAGCAACTTCGCGTGAAGACGTACTAGTAAAAAAGTATGGCCAGAAGCCCAGAAGCACAGCTTCAAACTCATCTGGTCTTAAATACATGAACTCCTCAGGAAAGGCATAACGAAGCAATGCGAACAAGAATGCGGCTGGTGCCATAGACGAAATTCCCACAGTCCATGACGTGCTGTAAGTTGGAGATATTTCTCAAGAGGTTTTCGTGGCTGTAACTCGTTTGATTTTTGTTTTCTTTGTGGTGGTGGTACAGAATGCCAGCGCAAAGATGCCAATTGATAAGGTGGTGACTCACGAAGATGCTGCAAGGGTTCAAGCCGCGGGAACAGTGGTGGAGTCGCACAGCGTGGTGGAATTGCAGCGACATTACAGTCCGCTGCGGACAAGAATGCAGCATCCGACTTTGAGCCCCGGGACGGGCAGGCTGGAAGGATTCCAAATGTGTAGAGACTTCAAAATTTTGTTAAGGTTTTGTAAATGAACTGTTCATATTCATTTTTCATGGTCAATAATTTCGGGTTCAAGATGAAATGATTAACTTTCAACTTATGATCCTGATTCAAAACTTTTGACCTGAACTCTCATCAAGCTCGAAAAATTCCCTTATGAAATTTTCATAAGTTTTCTAACCTCCATATGGTCCTGCTTCCATTCTGATGCCAAATTTCATCATTCTCAAGATGGAAGGATAACTTTCGACTTATGTAGTCCTGATTCAAAACTCTCGAAAAACATCATATCTGCAGAAGAGGCTTGACAACTTTCAAGTTCATTCCTTTTTTTTCATATTTGTTAACATTTTTTAAGCATGACTAACTTAATCTGACGCTTCTACTCAAATTTGTGCGGACACCAGTGGATTCCTCTCCATATGGTCCTGCTTCCATTCTGATGTCCCGGACTTGTCCTTTTGGTCACCGCCTTTCCATGCGTCATCTGAGGAGCAAGACGAAAACGATGGTGAGCCCTGTGCTAGCATATAATCATCTTACCTTGAATTTCTTCCGTAGATTCTTCGAGGCCTTTTTGCGATATGGTGTTCACGATTCTTCTCCATCTGTTGAATGCACAGGGAAAACAAATCAAACAATTATGTTAAAGAGGAATGCCATGGCGTTACCTCGGTTTTAATGTGCCTTCTCGTCTCTTGCATGTCAAGTTCTGGTTTGGGAACAGGCTCCCTGCACGACAATTATCAAAATTCCAGAGACTGAACAAGGCTATCAGCTTATTTTTTGTACTTGGCGGCCCTGGCGGCATCCTTGGCGAGTTTGATTGCTTTCGCTTCTTGATAAAACTCATCCTCTCGCTGTGTTTGACCATCATCGTCATCTTCGGATTGTTCAACAGGTGATTCCGCCCGACCAGAGGTCTGGACCTCACGCTTTCTTCTTCTTTCTCCAATGTGCTCCTTCACAGGCAGGTCGGTATCGCTTGAAATGATCTGCCAAGCCGCGTTTAGTGACAAGGCGTACTCGTTCTAAACACTCACTTTTGGCTTCTTTTGACGTTTTCCAGCTTCAGCAACAACTCGCGATATGGTTTTCGGCTGCGACTCTTGGTCAAGGGCACCCAAATCATCCTCCAAGTCATCCAGCAGCCCACGGTGCCTGCCATATGAATGTTGATGAAAAAGAAAGGTCTGGTGCTGTAGTCTCACCGTTTCGCCTCACGCCTTTTTCCAGTTTGGAGTTCTGAAACTCTAGTCTGCTCCAGTAACTGCTCACGTCTAGCTTTTTCTTGTAGTCTTTCCATCTCTCTTAGCATGTTTCTGCTTTCTTCTCCGACAAACTGTGGCTGTAAGACAGAATTGTTATATATACGTATTCAGAGATACCTGTTCAGCTGGCTTAGCATTTTGGACGTTGTGCCGCGAATGTTTGGATTTATGGTTTCCATTTGCAGTCGCCTTTGACTCCTGCTGAACTAATTCATTACATATATTTTGAAAGCTAATGGTGATAAGAGATTCCTGTACCTTTACTTCATCCTTAGCGGAATCCTCCTGTTGTGGCAACTTGGAAGTATCTAGTACCATATGTTTATCAATTTGTTGTTGCAGTTTCTTGTCTATTGGACGTACCTGGTGTTGATCACCATATTTATTTGGAATATCACAAAAATAATGCACAAACTCACCTTGTCAAGCAACGTCCGAATTTCAACCAGCTTTGCAATCACTGGATGATCACAGACTGATCGCCCTTCTGCTTTGAGAAGCAGATAAAAAACGATAGTTCGGCAGTAACTCAAAAGAAGCATATGCTTCATTTCCATGTAGTTTTTGCCCTCTCTAGTTGCGAAGTTCCCGTCCTCCAACTGTTAACAATAGAGAAATGTAAGTGTTACGAAGCCACTGCTAAGACGTATTTACCTTCTTTAAGAGGGTTGCACTTTATGTTCCAGCTCGTGCAGCGCCTCCTTTAATTCAGTTAGAAGGCCAACAAGCTCTGGAGCATTACTGTAAACAACGTGAGAATTAACTGACGAACTTGATTTGAGAAGATCGCCTCACCTCATTACAACTTGCAACTTTTCATCCTTGGAAAGAGAGTCAAAATCTTTCTTTACTTTCTCAATGGGTACATCTGATGTTTTGTCTTTGACCTTGTCTTTGACCAACTGATCACTTCGCTCTACGAGTTTCTGTGAATATCATTCGAGGTCAATATGTAATATAATCAAAACTGTCTTGTACCTCCAAGGTATCAGTTTCTTCAGGTATGTCTTCATCAGAAACCTGGTCAAAATCTTCCGGTCGATGGCTTTCTGCTATTTTTTGTTGTATTCGTCGAGCTTCATCTTCTTCCAGTGCAGGCAATTCATCGTCACTTGATTGTATCTGATAAAAATTTCTCAATACGTACAGTTGACAAAGAGAAGAAACCTCACCTCGTAATCGATGTTATCAGCTCGGTAGTAGTCTCTTTTGCGTTTACCCCAGTCTGCCTTCTCTTTCTCATCTTCATCTTCTATGATTCCTGTTTTCTGCCTCAAGTATTTTGCCTGTTTTTCAACTGGAAAAATAATAAACAGTTAGTGTATCGTGACTATAAGGACATAGTCGGAGTTACTTTTGGCAGCCATGTCATCGAGTTCCTCTTCTCCCATGTCTTCGTCCTCCTGTAACAGACGTTGCATATTATAACTTCAGAAATACCAAGCAGCCGTGTTACCTCATCTTCACTTTCTTCCCCCTGTAGAAAATGAAAACAAACTCTTGTTTTAGACAGCAGAAGAACGAAAATTGACTATCACACCTTCAGATAAAAAACTGGATTTAATTCTTCGTCATCCCCAGAGTCTGTTGAAGATCATTAGCTAAATGAATGTATGCGCAGGAACTGAGTACCTGTTGGCTCCAGTGATAGTTTGTCCCGGTTCTTATGAACTGCAAGCTCAAAAATCAGTTAAAATCCAACAGAAAAGTCCCTCAACAACTCTCTAACCCAAACAGAGACTCAACTCCTTTAGATTCCCTCCAAACACAATAGATTCTCAAGCTCATTTTAAGGCCATTGCACTAAGATGGCTACGAATTGCACTAGATCAGAATGCAATGGAAGATTTAGCACTAATACAATCTTGTGACACACTTAAGGCAAAAGAAACCCGCAAATTCCACCCTTAAACAAATAATCAACTCGAAAATTTTCTTCTCAAATACAATAACTTCACTCCAAAGTCAAACTTCAAACTTTATACAGAACTTCAAAGATGGGATTCAAGCCTAGTGAGTCAACTAAATACATCAACTACTCATCCAAGGCCAAGATTCTTCCCTGCTCCACACTCAAATTGAAACTGAAACTAAAACTAAAAAAGGATATAAGTCCCACTAAAAAAAAAACCTTTCAAAGTTTTGAGGATGGAGTCCTTAACTCACATTCTTTTATATTGCCTCTGCTTAAATACTCATTAACCTGTTAAAAATTAATTAATTTTTTAACCTTTTCTCACACTTATTTTTATTCATAATACAATTGTATTGTCCTACCCCCAAGATTGTAAGGTTTTCTTACAATTTTACACTTTTTTTGTTGTTGATGTGAGATCTCATAGTTGATGTAAATATCCCACTAATTCGTTTATGAACTTTGAGAAATTTTTTCTTCTTCTTGGACATTTTTTATTATTGCGAAAGTTTTCGTAGATTATTGACATTCATAGTTAATTTGATGATGGTTGCATGACATATTACACCTTTAAATTAAGATGTTAATTTGGGCACTCTCTCTTTAAGATAAATATGAAATTTGTCTAAGTACCTGATTATTCTCTCTCTACACAAAGTTAATAAGTCCTAAAACTAAGTTTTAGTGCATGCTAGCCCCAAGAGTTAATTTTTTCGAGGAGGGGGCCTGGGGTTTGTGCCCTCATGTACTTAAATAATATGGAGAAAGCAAGTATGAGAATGTCTAAGTTAGAGACTGAGCCTAGCCTGGCCACTAATTTCAGCTGTCTTGGACTGGACTCGCTCTTCTCAAGGCCTTGTGCCTCTACTCTCCTGAAGCACGCTAGTGCTCATATGTGGGCTAAGTCTCACTACTTGGGTGGAGACTCGTGCTCCTCCCTAGCTAGTGGAGTCTTCAACTTGACAATGTCATAATTCACTGTTGTGGATGAGTCTAAGGCTCATTTAAACTAAGTTCGGGCTAAGTTAGAACTCTCAACGGTGTTATCATGGACATGTGATTGCTGAGCAATCGAGTGAGATGAAAGAGTCATGGTTGACTAGTCTTACTAGTGTTGATGAAATGAGAGCTTGTAGCTCTTAACCAAATGGGAAGTTTGGAGACTAAGTTCCTACTCGAGATGACTCAATGATCGATAAGGGTGAAGACTAACTCAGAACTTGAAGGGTCAAAACATATCTTCCAGAGACTAAAGGAACTAAGAGTGATTAAGGTACTACCTTGACCAATGTGGTCGCAGAAGTCAAAAGGTGTAATGTGCATAAGCACACTACGAGTTAGACTTAGTGAAAGCGAAGTCTAGAATATGTGAACTTGAACTCAAAAGTTGAAAATGAAGAGTCTAATGAGAAAGATATTGAATGGCGATGACAAGTTCGTCTTGTCATGAGGACAACGTGAGCGTGTGGCTCAGGCCTTCAAGCTTAGTGTGAGTCTCATGCTCGCAGGTGGATGATAAAGCAGTGACTTTTTGGGTTTGTCCTCACTACGGTTCTAACTTAGTATGTGTTGTGATTGTGATGACTAAGATGACCCTAGGTGAGTTGTACCTTAAGGTGAACACAAAAGTCACCTTACCTCATCGTGACCCTTTAACCCTCAGATGTTGCAGAAGTGTGTAAGGTAGAAATAGGGAGACTGCTAGGCCCTTGATGTACCTTAGTGCACAAAACACCTTGAAGTGAGGAGGGTACAAGGCCTCTTAATTTAAGTATGCCTTTGACAATTGGAGTTCACTAGTTGGGATGGTACAACTACTTGGAATGATCATCCTAGTCTATGCTGGATGCACATGTGACGAGGGTGGGGTCTATGGGTTCAAGTCCAAGACTCTAGTGCTTGAAGTGGTGAGGGTTGGGACTGGGTAATTGGTCCCTAACCCTTGTGTGATTCAAAAGTTGGAGGTGAACTGGACTTGAAGCAAAGGTGAAGTTGGTGTTGTGCACAATACACGTGATGAATGGATGCTAAATTGAAAAAGCTTGATAGGGTGAAATATAACTTAAAATATTTTTTAAAAAAGAAATGTGTGTAATATAACATCCCAACAGCTTAAATTCACTTAGATTCATCATTTGTATTTATTCTGCATCCTTGCTCTCATCTTTTGTTCATAAATTCTCTTTTTAAAATTTATTTAAATTATTTAAAAAATATTTTTAACAACTTTTTTTAAAGAATTGTTTAGTATTTTCTTACATTCATTTGGGTTTTTCACTAATTTTCAATTTGAAAAAAAAATTCATTCTCAAAATTGGTATATATGATCTTTTCTTAGATTTTTTATTCTTTTCAAATTTCATATCCATGCTTTGTTATTTTTATTCTCACATTCTGAAATATTTCTACTCAAAAAATTAATATTTTTAATATTTTTTTTTGTTAAACTTTTTTTTCTAAGATTTCCCCTTATGAAATCCTCATCCATCTTTAATAGTACTATTGATCTTTTCTTCATTCGAGATTATCCTAAGAAATCTTAAGCTACTTTTCATGGTGTTACTTTATTATTTTTAAGATATCCTTATGGAACCTTAATCTTCTTGTTTTAAAAGATGATGCCCTATCATTTTCAAAATTCCCCTATGAAAATTCACAGTTTTTTATTTAACAAAAGTTCTATTAGTCCTTGCTTTTTCTGAGATTCTTTTATAAAATCTTTGATTTTCTTTCGTTAATGGTGTTAACTTTGTTATTTTGAATTTTTTTTGGGAAATCCTCATTTTCTTTTTTTTGCAAAAGTTCTATTAGCCTTTGCTTTTTTTGAGATTTCTTTATATTTACATATTCCAAAGTTTTAAAATCTTATTAAAAATACTTGGTGCATTTTTATATTCTTTCAAGTTGATTGAAATGTCTTTCTTAATCAGAAAAGATACTTTCTTTGAATTGTTATTTGTTGTTTCATTTGCAAAAAGAATTTATTAAGCTTTTTCTTTTATCTTTAGGTTTTATATTATTTTTGATGATGATACTCTTTTTTTCTGCATTCCTGTCAAGTCTCCTAGAATTTTTTTTAATTCTTTTTTATTTGTTGTTTTTTTTAAATTTTTTTTAAATTTTTTTTTACTTATTTTTCCTTTTTCTTATTTATTTTTTTTATCATGACCTTTAAGTACTTATATTTTACATCAAACTACTTCAGATGTGATTTGAAATGTCTATATATTTCTTTGGATCCTTTGAATTTTCATATGTATTATGGCTTCTTCATGTACACACTTAAAAAACTCTAGATTGAAGTAGCACAAAGTGCTTGTGGATGCCTGTCCTACACTAAGGGTGTGTAAAACAAAGGTAATATCTAATATATATCAAGGGGCTTTGTTGTGTTTCAAGGCTCCCAAGTTGGAAGATTTTGATTTAGAATCTTCTAATTGAGTGTTTCAGCAGTAGTGTATGTATACCCTATCCCAAGTAGCACTGGAAGGATATGATCATGTTAAAAGGTAGTGAAGTTGAGTTAGTTGCAACATTGCAAGTTACTTCATGTGAATATGAATCTTGATATGGAGGAGCTGCTGTTGGGCTGCCCACTACTTAAGAAATCTAATATTTTCCTGAAAGCCAAAGCAGAATTCCAGTGTAAGTGACTAATTTTTCCATTCTACTTTAGTCACTTAACCACACTTCCGACCACTTAGAGGAGTCTCACTCACAACCTCCATATGTCCTATTTTAGACTTGGGCTTGCTAGCCCCAAGAATGGCATCCTCGCCACTCAACGTTTGCACTTGGTCCAAGTGCTCCACATGTCCGATCCCATGAATGACATCCCAAGGTACCACTGACATATCGGCCCGTTATGCTAAGGCCATGCCCATTCACCTTGGTCACATCGGTGGTCTGACACCACTTACATCATAGTCCCGTCTCCCAAAGACTGGGCCATCCGTCCATGAATGATCATCCCAGATCCACTCCTTAGCATACTTAGGATGCCCATAGACATGGGGAATAGCCTTCCCCAATATCCCCTGCCCATGGCCGTGTTCGCCAACACTGCTATTGGACCAAGGCCCACAGGCCCGTCCACTAAGTCCCATGGTTCTCTGGGACTTCCTCCTCACATGACTGTATCCTTGGTTTCTACACTATAGGACGACTCCTCTTCCTTTTCACAGTCTGGGACTTTGGGGCAACATTTCGGAACACCACGGCCTTACGCGAGCCTTGTGGGTACTCTCCCCGCCTTCCGCCTTTGGGTGCTCTAGCCATGGGCTTAGAGCGAGGTTCCGTTGAGCCACGCCTAGTATCCAAGTAGGCAGTGCCACCCACACTTGGACTAGGAGCATCGGCCAGTCGATCTCCTGGGGGAACTAGAGCCAGCTCTTGAACACTTCATCAAGCTACCCTGTTTGTCAGTCCGTGTTCACTCTAATCTTGGACTTCTCAGTGGGCAACTCATCACCCAACACTGGGTACAGCCTTCCTGGGCCAAACTGGCCTTTCCTGGCCAAACTGGCTCCATTGCAGTCCTCCCCCTTACTATACTTTTGGAGCTCACCAAACCCCCTAGGGTTTGGGAGACGAACGCTGGGGGGTTTGGTGAGACGAACGCTTTGGGCTTTCACCCTCTTAGACTCGAACTCGGACTCGGACTCGGCCTCGGTCTAGTCTCGACCTCGGACTCCATCTCGGGCTCTATCTCGGATCCATCTCGGTGTAAGCTCCTGAGTTTGGACTTCCCGAGAGG